ATGCACGGCAGAAAAGCAGTGGGGTTCCAGATCGAACCAATAGATGGAGGTTTATGTCTTGACCTCCCCCCTCTTATTGAATGTAGTGAGATAATGTTCAATAACGAAGAAATACCAACACCAGAAATCGCCCTAGCTCACACTCACCTAAAACATCTGGCTCCTCTCATTCCCAAGTATGACCCAGGTTCTCAGATAGCAGTTCTTCTAGGCCGAGACATTATTCGTGTCCACAAAGCCCGGCAACAAGTGAATGGACCCCCTGATGCTCCCTTTGCTCAACGCCTCGATCTTGGCTGGGTAATTGTAGGAGAAGTGTGCCTCAACGCTCATAAGTCAACTGTCAACGTGTATAAAACCCACATACTTCCCAATGGACGCCCCTCTCTCCTGACTCCTTGTCACAACAGCATCAACATTAAAGAGACATTGTTCTACGGCGGGGAGAACAAGGATAGCATTCTTAAAAAGAGCTCAAAATTCAAGTCAGCAGAAGATAATCTTGCGGAGAATGTTTTTGAGCAAAAAGAGAACGACAACAGGTGTGCCATGTCATTTGAGGACGAGACCTTTCTGAAACTCATGGACAAAGAAGTCCATCAAGATGAAAACAAGAGCTGGATTGCCCCTCTGCCATTCAGATCTCCACGTTTGCCTTTACCAAACAACAGAGACCAAGCTGTATCCAGGCTTAATTCACTAAGACGGAACTTACTTAAAAACAAAGAAACAAAAGAACAGTTTTCTGATTTTATGGATAAACTGTTCCAGAACAATCATGCTGAGATTGCCCCACCTACCGACAGTGGCACAGAATGTTGGTACCTGCCTATTTTTGGAGTGTACCATCCCCAGAAACCAGGTCAGATACGGGCTGTGTTTGACTCAAGTGCAGAGAAGTTTGGTGTATCTCTCAACTCAGTGCTGTTATCCGGCCCAGATCTCAATAACACCCTTTTGGGCGTACTGATTAGATTTAGGAAAGAGCTCATTGCAATCACAACCGATATTCAACAAATGTTTTATGGGTTCCTGGTTAAGCCAGAACACCGAAACTATTTGAGGTTTCTGTGGCACAAAGACAATGACTTCCACAAAGAAGTGCAAGAATACCGCATGCGGGTGCATGTTTTTGGAAATAGCCCATCCCCAGCAGTAGCCATTTATTGCTTACAAAGAGCAATTCAAAAAGCTGAAGCAAAGTTTGGAGCAGACACCAGGCGTTTTGTCGAGAGGCACTTCTATGTGGACGACGGGTTGATTTCATTCCCTTCTGAAACTGCAGCTATTGACCTGCTAAAGCGCACGTGTGCATCCTTAGCTGAATCCAATCTCAAACTTCACAAGATTGCCTCAAACAGTGTATCAGTCATGCAAGCCTTCAAGCCAGAAGAGCTTGCCAGCAGCATTAAAGACTTAAGTCTCGACAACGATAGTATGCCGACCCAGAGAAGCCTAGGCTTACAGTGGAACATTAATACAGACTCGTTCACGTTCAAGGTAGCGGTTAATGACAAACCCTACACCCGTCGCGGGGTTCTCTCCGTGATAAACAGCATATTTGATCCCTTGGGAATATCTTCTCCAGTGACTATTAAAGGGAGACTCTTATTACGCGAACTGTCAAAAGGAGTAAAAGATTGGGACAGTCCTCTGCCACAGGACAAGATGAATACATGGGAGCTATGGAAAATGTCCCTTCAAGACTTGAGTCAACTCAGAGTGCCACGATGTTATGTGCCAACTTCACTTTCCAAGGCAACTTACACAGAGCTTTGTGTCTTTTGTGATGCTTCAAACTGGGCAATTGCAGCTGTTGCCTATCTAAAAACAGTCAATGCAGATAGACAATGCGAGGTAGGATTTGTACTCGGAAAAGCAAAACTGTCACCACAACCAGAGCCCACAATACCTCGACTTGAACTCTGCGGAGCCGTCATGGCAGTTGAGATGGCAGAGCTCATCCTTGATGAGCTTGATCACAAACCTAATGCCGTCAAGTTCTACTGCGATAGTAAAGTAGTCCTTGGCTACATCTGTAACGACTCCAAACGCTTTTTTGTTTATGTCCATAACCGAGTTCATCGAATACGCCAGTCCACATGCCCTGAACAGTGGTACTATGTCACATCTGAGCAAAACCCTGCCGATGTCGCAACCAGATCCGTCCCTGCATCTCAACTTATGGACACCATGTGGTTCAAAGGTCCAGGATTTCTTCAGAAACCACCCGAACTTGAGACACACAAATGCTTTAAGTTGATAAATCCTGAGTGTGATAAAGAAATAAGACAAGTCACCACTTTATCCACATACATTCAGAAAAAGTACCTTTCACTCGAACGTTTCCAGCGTTTTTCTACCTGGGACTCTCTTGTTCGTGCTGTTTCGTTTCTCATTCATCAAGCTCGTTCTCACTCATCCAGCAGCTTCTCCAGCCATATATGCAAAGGCTGGCATCGGTGCATCCAGCCTCGCACGCCAGAGGAGCTTGAAGCTGCTAGAAAGCTCATTCTTCAGTGTGTTCAAAGAAATGCATACCCAGAAGAGTATGCTTCTCTTCAAACCACTCAAAAAGTCCACAGCGCAAGTCCCCTTTTTACACTTGATCCCTATTTAAGTGAAGGCCTGATCAAGGTCGGAGGCCGCCTTAAACATGCCTCACTGGACACAGCTGCCAAACACCCCATCCTTCTCCCAAGCAAGCACCATATTACCTTACTGCTTGCCCAAAACTATCATGCTAAAGTTTTGCACCAAGGAAGACAATTCACAGAGGGCGCCATTCGACAAGCCGGACTGTGGATTGTAGGCTGCAAGAGACTTGTCTCATCGATTATTCATTGTTGTGTGACCTGCAGAAAGCTCAGGGGTAAACAAGTTATCCAGAAAATGGCAGATCTTCCTTCTGAGAGGACCAATGTGTCCCCGCCCTTCTCCTATGTTGGCCTAGACGTCTTCGGCCCTTGGACAGTCATCACAAGACGCACACGAGGCGGTGCAGCACAAAGCAAAAGGTGGGCAATACTTTTTACGTGTATGACCACAAGAGGTGTACACATAGAAATCATCGAGTCAATGGACACTTGCAGTTGCATAAATGCGATCCGCCGATTCTTCGCTATAAGAGGGCCAGCAAAGCAGCTACGATCAGACAGGGGCACCAATTTTATCGCCACAAGTGTTGAGTTGGGCATGGTTCAGTCAAACAAAACTGACTTTTTCAACTATCTACATGCCAATGGATGCACCTGGGTGTTCAATCCCCCTCATGCATCCCACATGGGGGGTGTCTGGGAAAGAATGATTGGAGTAACACGAAGGATCTTGGACTCTATGTTTATGCAAAATAAACATTCCCGCTTTACACATGAAGTGCTTTGTACTTTGATGGCTGAAGTAACCTCTATTATAAATGCAAGGCCTTTGGCTCCCATTTCTACAGACCCCTCCTCGCCATTCCTACTGTGCCCTGCAATGATTTTGACCCACAAGCAACATGTTCCTTCTCCACCAGGAGACTTCTGTGGGAAAGATCTTTTTAAAAAGCAGTGGAAGCAAGTACAGGCACTTGCCAATGAGTTCTGGAGCCGCTGGAGAAATGAATATCTCAACACGCTTCAGTCCAGACGTAAGTGGAGCACAACTCATCGCAACCTCCAACAAGGCGATATTGTTCTGCTGAAACAAACTCAGGCTCCAAGAAACGAATGGACAATGGCCATCATCACAACTGTCCTTCCAAGTAGCGACGGGAAGGTACGAAAGGTCGAAGTGAAGACAACATATCAAGGTGTATCTAAGATTTACTTGCGCCCAATCTCAGATGTTGTGCTACTCCTAGAAAATGAGATTGTAGATGTAAAAAAGTAGTGGCATTAATATGCCAGACGGGGAGTGTTCTGTCTCTGTTTTTTAGTGGCTAGATGAACTCCCGTTTAATTGTGATTTGTACATTTTGATTTACTTGTAAATGAGTTTTTTAATAATTAATTTTAAACACCTTTTTTTTATTGGTTTGGTTGCTATGTAGTTTTTGGTTCATTTGGTTGCTGTGCATGGTTGCTAGGCAGCAGAAGGCTCTCTAATATAAACATGCCTGTTAACAGTTAGTAGTAACTTCAGCAGTCTGTTACTGTTACTGTCTCCACTTGTGTCTCAACCTTTCTTCATGTACGAAAGCAATGACTGTAAGTTTGTGTGTTGTTAATCGTTCATTTCTGTTAATCAAAGCTAAATGTACATTATTTCTGTTTTATTTATAGTTTCACTCGAGCTTTTTACGATAACCTGTCTACAAGTCCTGTATTAAAGGATCAACCTGGCTCGTGAAGACCGAGTTTGGCTTGCTGTTGATTTACGTTAACATACTCCATGTATACAACGCGTATTGAGAACAGTACAGGAATAGTTCACCGTTTTTACATACTGACATATGTTCTTACCTTACCTTAGACCAGACAGGTACGTATTAACTAGTCTTAGTCCGTGCGCTCTGTCATGCAAACGGAGAAAAAACGGGAGCACAACCGCAGCCTCCTCTGGTCACTGTAGGACCAAAAGGTAGCTCCCGCTAGAAGCTACCAAACTCTTCCAAGTGTTCCCTATTAAATGTATATAGTTACGTGTTACATTTCTGTGTTACTATACTTTGCAGTGTAACACGTCACGTAACTATATACATTTAATAGGGAACACTTGGAAGAGTTTGGTAGCTTCTAGCGGGAGCTACCTTTTGGTCCTACACAGTATACAAAGGAGGCTGCGTTTGTGCTCCCGTTTTTGCTCCGTTTGCATGACAGAGCGCACGGACTAAGACCAGACAGGTACGTATTAACTAGTCTAAGGTAAGGTAAGAACATATGTCAGTATGTAAAAACGGTGAACTATTCCTTTAAGGCTCCTGATGTTACTGTGATGCCTTCAATCAAACACTACTCAAAACGTGAGAAAAAGTTTATTTTTATGCAACACAATACAAACTGGCTACACATCCATGTTCAGTTGTATGTCATGTATCGAGGAGTGGCGCTGAATTTGGCGTAAGATTTGATTACTTTGTTCACAGCCTCCAGGAAATCCTTCTCTGTGGCGATTTTCCGGCGCGCTCTGATGGCAAACATGCCAGCCTCTGTGCACACGCTGCGGATCTCAGCTCCTGGGAGAGAAGGTGGTTCAGTGAGGAAGAAAAGCAAAGTAGAATGCAAAGAGTGTAAGTGTTCCATATGTGACGCCTTAAAGAATCAGCGCAAGGTTGACAATTTCAAAAATAGATGAAAAAGATTTCAAAAATCTAATCAGACGGAGGGCCTGTTTACACCATAGACTGTAAATATTAACGGACATAGTCCCGCCTAACTCTGCCGTTCAAACTAAAGTACCACCACTTTCGCCGTCTATGGGCACAAGCCCCATTCATTGGACGATGGCATTCAAAATCCGACAGTGGTCCAAAAAAATATACTCCTTAAGCATTGACACACATCTGGAAACCGTACCAGTATAATCACTTCAACAACATCCTCCTCGGGCCGCCACAAAGCCGGTGATCTGTAGAGTTGCTCTGCTCCATGGATCTATTATAATAACGGTCTGCAACGTCGAGTTGGTCTGGCACATACATCATCGCATACGGCCACAATGATTACTCCTTGCTGTGACTCGACAGCTGCTTGCTTACAGCTGGTCTTTCGGGTTAAATTCGAAAGGTTCATATGGGATATTTGAATTGATTATAATGTATCCATGCCGAATAACAAGATTATACATACTTTATTCAATGAGTTTGTAAGTGAAACTTCTGGAATTTATCTCAAAAAAGCGAGTGATGCACATCATTATTGATTTATATTCCCATTTATTTATTCGGGCTTTGCGTCTTTGTTGCTTTAAATATTTAACATGTGATGGTGTTCCTGTACATAAACAAAGGCCAGACCAAATTGACAGAATGGTCTGGCCTTTGTGTTAAAATCACTCCACTGGCTCCCTGTGGAGTACAGAATAAAGTTTAAAATCCTTCTTTTAACATACAAAGCCATAAATGACTTGGCTCCTTCTCATCTTCAAGACACGTTAGGGTCATATCAACCAAACCGAGCGTTGCGCTCGCAAAACGCCAGACGTCTGGTGGTTCCTAAGGTCTCAAAAAGCACGGTCGGCGGCAGAGCATTTAGCTACCAAGCTCCTTTAATGTGGAGCTTGGTAGCTAAATGCTCCACATTAAGCTGGAGCATTTAGCCCCCCCCACCTGTGCTGTTGGGGCAGAGTCGGGCCAGCAGCTCAAAGCGGATGTCTCTCTCCACACTCATGGAGCGTGCGTGGATCTTAAAGATGTGAGTGCGCCCCTGTCAAACACATCAAAGAAACGTTACAGCAGATGCATCTCAGTATACATGAGGCTCACACCACTATCTCAATATACATGCAGGTTCTCTCACCTCGAGGTCAGGAAGGCTGAACTCGATCTTACGGTCCAGGCGTCCAGGTCTCATCAGTGCTGGGTCCAGGGTGTCTGGTCTATTTGTGGCCATCAGGACCTTGATGTTTCCTCTGGGGTCGAAACCGTCCAGCTGGTTGATGAGCTCCAGCATGGTCCTCTGCACCTCGTTGTCCCCGCCAGCACCGTCGTCAAAGCGCGCGCCTGCAAACACGGCAGCGGCATGGCGTTTGGCGCGTGACCCAACACAAGAAGCATGGGGACAACAACACGACAGTGTGTGTGTGTGTGTGTGTGTGTGCCAAAGATGGGGACGAGAGTCCGACTTAAGTCGCTATTTTTAGAGACTTGCGACTCTTTGTCTGTGCTCGCTCATGGCTGATCGCAGGTCTTGACAGTGTCGGTGTTCTGCCGCCTCAGCTGTTAATGATGTAATGCAAACCTGCGCATGCGTGTCTCACGGCAGCCGAAGCAAACCAAGATGGCGGACAGGAAGTCCGTGAATTGCTATTAAAGTTAAAATACAAACAAATTAAGACACAAATGTCACTTAATGCAATTTGAGGCAAGATGTTGATGGTTCCATGTTGTGTTATGTGGGTTTTAAGAGTAAGAGTTTCGTGTAAAGTTTGATTTAAGCACTGCTCCTGTGAAACCACAGGCTGAACTGTTATGATAGCAGTCTGAGTTGACTGCTGCATACGTCATTTTACTGACGTAGGCCGATGACGCGTCCTGTGGCAACTCGACAGCTTACAACTGATCTGTCGAGTTGATAATGGAAATGATTAATTTAATGCATGTATCATACTGTATTCAATATGATTAACAATAGTGTGTTCAAACAAAATATTTAAATCAAGTTTTTTCCCCATTCTGTCGGGTTTCTGCGCATGCGCAAAACAAATTTGGGTTACAGTAGCAGTGTGGTTTCACAGGAGCAGTTGACTGCTTAAACAAACTTTACACAAATGTTGTGTCACAGCTTGTGGCAAGTTTCGCCAACATCACATATGTGTTCCTCAGGAGAAAAGGTTTGACATTCCTGGATGACGTCAATACAATATATTTGAAGAAGAGAGCACTCCGGTCAAGTTCCCGGCCCTCAGTTACCCCCAATGGCGTCGATTTCATCAAAAAAGATGAGGCAGGCCTTCTTGGTGCGCGCCATCTCAAAGAGCTCACGGACCATTCTCGCCCCCTACAGGGACAACACAACACAACAAGCACAGCAACAGTGACATTAGTGATGCTTCTGCATTATGCGCTCATATCCTGCTCAGACCGCTTACCTCTCCCACATACTTCTGCACAAGCTCAGATCCGATAACGCGGATGAAGCAGGCATCAGTGCGGTTGGCCACGGCCCGGGCACACAGGGTCTTGCCAGTGCCTGGGGGTCCGAACAGCAGCACGCCTTTGGGAGGCTCGATGCCCAGGTTCACAAAACGCTCTGGCTGGGTACCACAATGTTACACGTGTGACTGGGCATGTTAGAAGTACATTCAACAGAGCAAGATTCAACATGCACTAAACGAGTATGTTTTGTCATGATGTTACCAGGCGCAGCTCACAGAGGATGTTATAATAAATGCTGATCCGGCCAGAATCTAATATAGGAAAAAAAATACCAAAAGGTGCACAAATTTTCTAGTTCTAGTATAAAGATCGACTCTGGTAATAAATTTAGTTTATACATAAATAAAAATCTCACCGGTGGAGCGAAGCCTCCAATCACCATCTGTTAGGGTTGCCACGATTTCACATTTTTGAGTCACGATTGTGAGAGAAAATATTGTGATTTTACGATTAATTATTGTACAGTATATAACATTATGAAAGAAAATCAACTCATTTTTTGCTGGAAAACAAATTGATAAATTAAGATTATATATATTACATTATTTTTATGTATTACAATTGATATATGTATTACATTGGCGGCGGCACGGTGGCTGAGTGGATAGCACTCTCGCCTCTCAGCAAGGAGGTCCTGGGTTCGAATCCCGGCCGGACCAGGGCCTTTCTGAGTGGAGTTTGCATGTTCTCCCCGTGTCTGCGTAGGTTTCCTCCGGGTGCTCCGGTTTCCCCTACCACTAAAAATATGTACAATAGGTATGGCATGTGCCTCCTGTACTGGCGACCCCACTCCCAACAATTGTAAACCGCTTTGAGACTCCGATGTGCAGTGAAAAGGCGGTATATAAATAAAAGCTTACTTACTTACTTACATTTAAAATGAAGAGTTTGGTTCCAAAACGCTATAAATCCATTTGGATCAATTTGAGTAAAACTGCGTTTTCTTCAGCAAGAAAATGATATGAAAATCACTTTTGTCTGTTCCAAATCTTTATATAGCATCAGAAGGTTATAATAACAAATTTAAATCCAGATTTTATTATTTCAAGATTTATTTTCTCAAAACGCAATAAATCCAGATTTCAAAAGGCTGAAACTTTAAAGTGGTTGAAGATAAAGGCATACTGTAAATGATAAATATCTTCAGTATGAATCAAAGTTTGGGATGGAAGTTGATTTGTCATCTAATTTACATATTATGACGTCATCAAGGTGGCGACCATATTGGAAAATGTCCATTTTAATATACAAATTTCCAAAAGCTGTAGTTTGAGAAGAGAATACAAAAGGTCAAAAAAGATCAATGTGAAATATCTTTAGTATAAAAGGAAATTGGGGATGGAAATAAATTAACTGATAGAATTTATATATAATATTTTAGCAGCCACATGGGATTGTATTATTTTCAAAGATCAAGGACAATCCTTATTAAAAAAATCTGGAGTTTTGTTTCAAAATTTCCCTTCAAAGAACTAGTGCATATCGGTTTCAGTGGAAACGAGGCTCCAGAAATCATTTTTTAAAAAGGGATGAAATGAATGGGCTCAGAGCTTGTCAGATCTTGTCAGATCGTCTCCACAAAAACAGACTCAACACTTCTGATCCACTTTCCTCTACTCTCAACAAATACAAGCCATCATCATGTGTTTTTTCCCTACGGCTATTCCCGCATCCCCCGTGGTTGTTTCCACCCACATGTGCGGAGTTATGCCCCCCTTGTCCCCTCCACCACGTCCCCTGCTTGGCGTTCACAGAATGCTTCCACCGTGGCCACACGGAGGTGAAGCAGCCACTGTACTGTGGCTGATTGTGGACTCTGGAGTGCAAACTCTTGTCACTGATAATGTCTGTGTCCTCGTCACTGAACACCTGCGTGTCTTCCTCCTCTAAATCTGAGTCAGTCAGTACCCGTAGAAGTACTTTGTCAATGTTAAAATAACTAAAATAAATGAAGAAAACACCGGTTCACTCTGCTCTGGCTCTGCTCAGTACTACCGCTCGCCTCCGCGCTCTGAGCCGCAGGTGTTTTACAAACTCATTTTACTCTAAAACTTTTCATATAACCACGCCCACAAATGCCTCATGTTAAAGGCACACATGTCCACTAACTCCTAGTGAAGCGTATGAAAAGATTCTGCACCACATTTATAGATACAGCCGGTTTTATTTAGCAGGAAGCCAGCCCCAAGGCACCGCCATTGTTTAAACCACGAAAGGATGCTACGCTGTGGTTGGTTGAGTGGATTTGTAGCGTTCTGCGGAGAAGGTGGACTGGCATTTATTGCCGTTTGGAAAGAATGGTAGAAAGCAGGACTGAATAAAACTGATGTCACGTTTTGCGGAAAACTGAATAAGGGGTTATCTACAGTGACCAAATACATTTCTGATTTTGGTACAAACTTTTTTTAAATGGCGTTTATTGCGTTTTGGAACCAAGCTCTTCAAATATACCTATATGTAAATTGCCTAACTTTATAGATATTTTATAAAGTATGAAAATGCTCATATATAATTGTTTTGTTGTAGTAGTAGCCATCATCAGAGTTGTAGCTTAGGTGTTATGTCTGCATTTCTTTTTTTTATTGTGGAGAATAGACATACAAAACAAATACAATACGACAAACAAGAAGCAAACACAGGCAAAGTGAATATTCACATAGGTGATCAGTTTCAGTGATATTTACAACGCAAGTGGAGAAACTATACAAAGAGGAGAGGACAGTGACATCAACAAGATCGTTGCGCGTATGTGTGTGTGAGTGAGTGAGCATGGGAGTGAATGTGGCTCATGACGGAAACCTTTTCTTATGTACAGAAGTGGGGTAAAAGGAAAGACAGTGCATACATATAATTATAAATATATAATAGTAAATATAAACATAATATATAAATTATAATAATCATACATAATGATATTGTTGCATAATAACAGTAATAATGATAAAGATTATAATAATAGCAATAAAGTACAACATCCGCAAAATTAATATATTATATATATATATATATATACACACACAGTGCCTTGCAAAAGTATTCGGCCCCTTTGAACCTTTCAGGCTTCAAACATAGATATAAAATTTTAATTTTTTGTCATGAATCAGCAACAAGTGGGACACAATCGTGAAGTGGAATGAAATTTGTTGGATGATTTAAACTTTAACAAATAAAAAACTGAAAAGTGGGACGTGCAATATTATTCGGCCCCTTTACTTTCAGTGCAGCAAACTCACTCCAGAAGTTCAGTGAGGATCTTTGAATGATCCAATGTTTTCCTAAATGACTGATGATGATAAATAGAATGCACCTGTGTGTAATCAAGTCTCCGTATAAATGCACCTGCTCTTTGATAGTCTCAGGGTTCCGTTTAAAGCGCAGAGAGAACCATGAAGACAAAGGAACACAGCAGGCAGGTCCGAGATACTGTTGGAGAAGTTTAAAGCCGGATTTGGATACAAAAAGATTTCCCAAGCTTTAAACATCTCAAGGAGCACTGTGCAAGCAATTATATTGAAATGGAAGGAGTATCAGACCACTGCAAATCTACCAAGACCCGGCCGTCCCTCCAAACTTTCATCTCAAACAAGGAGAAGACTGATCAGAGATGCAGACAGAGATGTTTTTTTTTTTTTGTGTGTGTCATGTGTATGTTGCATTAAAAGAGATAGAGGGGTTTTTGTGCCAGACTAGTCTAGAACAGACACCCCACTTTCGTCTGGGTTGTGTAAGAGTACCATCTATTTATTGAATAGTTGCATTAAAAAAAAAGAAATAAGGAGTGTGTTTTGTCAATGCCCGTGCGGCAGCCGAGATACAAAGGCTCCTAAGAGGTAGCTTGATGGAAAAGGGTCGGATTGAACCCACAGGGTTTAAATGTTAGTTTTAGTTTCTATATTTCGAATATATTACAATGTTACAATATTATACTATATCACCATATATCATACCATACTTTATTATTATATCATATTTATACTGTATTATATCTGTCTGCATTTCTTTTGTTGACAAAGGGACAGTACGCACGTATCCTTAAAGAGCCTCTCCTAGCACAAGTGCAAGTGTTTTCGCCAGTGTGACTTTCATACTTGCAGATTTACATTAATGTACACCTTAGGACAGTTTTGGCAGTTATTTCTGAACATTTGGAAAACGTTATTGACAATTATGCAGTTGTTTACCATTACTTTGACTACGTTGTTTTTTTTCATTGTGACGCAGTTTTGCCCGACTGCTACTTTACCAACTATCCTAATGCATCATGGAAACTCACTTGGGACGAGAGGGATTTTTAAGTGTGTGAGGGCCATCGCCTCTTCTCCCCAAGTATTGGGACACCCTATAACCCCCACGGGCAAGCTCAAAATCTAGGGCAAAAAGGTGCCTTTTAAGAGCAAGGGTGAGAATTGGGACAGGGAGCTTGTCTGCTCCATGTGCAGCGGGACGTACTGCACCTAGGATCTAAAATCCTTATGGTTAACCTACCGCATTTTACCTACGGCTTTTATAATCACTATTACCGTAAAACCGGTTAATCTCGGCAACCCTACCAATGACGCAATTACACTCCAGACCTATTGTACAAGTTTCTAGTGGTAGGGGAAAGCAGAGCACCCAGAGAAAAACCTACTCAGACACGAGGAGAACGTGCAAACTCGACACAAAAAGGCCCTGGGACGTGCAATCAAACCCAGGACCTTCTTTCATGTCATACCATCTGCAAATTAATCAAAAATATGTAGAAGCATACCAGGAAAAATTATTCAAGTACAGTACTTAAGAAAAAGGACTTGCCACTTTAGTGCCCCCATGCCGCTTTTCCACAGTACGGCGTGCTGTGCCGTGCCGTACCATACGTTTGCATTTCCACTAGGGTTGGGCTTGGGATAAGGGTACTTTTTCCGTACCACCTCGACAGTGGTGTGCCGAAGCAATACCATAACGTGACGTCGGCCGACTGCCTTACACCCATTGGTCAACGAGTGCAGTCACTGGAAGCAACGTCCAACCCATGGTAAAAACAACTCAACCCCGCCATCTTTTAAAATCGGCTGCTCTGCTATAAACAGGATCATTAATGGGCTATAACTCGTCCTCCTCACTCGAGAGAAAAGGGATCGCACAGAAAGCCAGCGTCAGCGTCCTGGTCGGTCGACGAGGTCCACACGTGACTCTCTTTAGGCCGAGGAAAGAATTCAAAAGGTAGCCCGATCGCAAAACACTGAACGAGAAGGTTTTCAGGGAGATCACCCAGCTCTTGATTTGTGACTAGTCTGTGGTAATCCTAGAAATAACTGGTTAGCTACGTATTCCGTTAGATTTGCTATGTATCCTATTAGAATAACTGGATAAGGTATTACTAGCTTGAACCTAAAGAACCCATGTGCTCGGGGGATTCTTGCGGTGCTGCAGACTGAACAAGACTAAATTCACGTAGGCTACCCAGACATTTTCCCCAAAGAACTCAATGTAAACAAAAACAGCGTGACCTCAGCTGACAGAACCTACAGCTTTCATAAAGATCGGATTTTGTGGGGATTTTAGTGTCCCTTGTCATCCTGAACTTTTTTTTCCTTAAATCCTTCGGTTTTATATGATTTTTACCACGTATTACTTTTTAACTTCTTCGCACTTCTTTTTCGAGTTGATAGATTTACAATATAAATTTATTTTAAATAACTAAGTTATTCATTGAACTCAAAATAAAAAAAAAATTCAAATGACAAAAAGTGACGCATCAGACCAATGTAACTAGTTATGCGTTGCGCGTAAATTACGTGGTCTGACAACCCCTCCCACGCTGAGGAGATACTTGGAGGTAACATTTTTAATGGAAAAGCAATCATACTCAGCCGTACCGTATGGTGACTATGGAAAAGCAGCATTTGTAGACCACAAACTGTACCACAGTAATAGTGGGTTTCACCTTCCACCTATCCACAGCCATTTCTCCAAACTGAATTGTTCCAAAGTGTTCCTCATGAGTTGAGACGGTTGTGTGTGGACTTACATGCAGCAGGGGCGTCTCCACCACTTCCCTAAGTTTCTCAATCTGCTCTTTGCAGCCTCCAACATCGCTGTAGGTCACATCGGGCTTCTCCTCCACCTGCACACCACACCATGTAACCACGTCAGCCCCAAACATGACAAAAACATACTCATGCTAGTTTCATCTGGTGGTCAGTCACTCATGCTTGCTATGAAGATGTTTACACCTGTGCTGTGGTTTAGGTTGGACCAGGGGTGTCAAACTAGACTAACCACAGGAAATGGGTGGAGTCAGGTCTGCTCTTGCTGGTAGCCACACCGGTCCTCTGAGGACTTTTGACACCCCTGGGTTAGATCAACATAAATCTTCATAAACTTCATAAACAGTAACTTGTTCTAGTAACTACTTTCATTTGGAGTCAGCTGTAGCTGCAGAAGAGCCACCACAATTGTTGCCCATTCTTGTTTTTGACATGTCCTGAACATGTTTCTCAGACAGCAGAGAATTAACCACTAGCAATAGCTCTTCTCTGGCTCTGTGGACACATGCAGTAAAGTCTTTGTAACTTCAGTAAAGTTAAAAAAAAAAAAAAAGTACATGGAGTCGTTACTTGGAAGCTTCAAGTCCTCACTGCACAGTCTTCATTCCCGTCCTACAGACTCACTGACAGTGCTCCAGAATCTCAAACACAGTCCAGTACGGTCAAAAACATTACAGGAAGAATTTTAACTATGCCATACAACAAGGGCTCAGGAAATCACCAGGTACAGCAACCAATACATAGCGTGTGATTGAATTATTGCTTACAGTTGCCCTAACCACTTAAATAGTTCTGTGACCAAATGGTGAAATGATGTTCCAGACTTGAATTTAATTTTAAGTGGTCAGCTTTCTATGTTGTCTTTTGTGCATACATTCAACAGTAAATGGCCTTTATCGCCATGAATTGGTGCAGATAGCTGATCTGCAGCAGTCGTGGAGTAGTAGTTTACGGTAACTGCATGCAATAGTGGTGTTCATGTTGCTACTAGTTAAACATGTCAAAAGTGTGGCAGTATTTCTCATTAGAAAACAGACGGCACAAAAGCAACATGCAAAGTATGCAACATGGGAGAGGTGGGAGCAACAGAGCTATATTCAATTCGAAAAGTCTGATTCAGCATTAAAAGGACTAAATATGAAAGAAAGCATACGCGTATTTTGTTATTGTGACTTGGGGTTACACTATATCACAACTCAATAGTGATTGGCAGATAAACCCCGTAACACACCAAGGCTTTCTTTGCCAGATTGTATGAATGTGTTGGAGCCTCTGACCTCATACTAGGTTGTAACCAGTGGGGGCGGGTCCCAGCTCAAAAGCGGCCAAAATGACTTGCGCTTACATGCTTGCAATAGCACCCCGGACCGATGGGGGTGGACCCGGAATAAGAATTAGACAATGTTAACATATAGCATCTTCTTACCTCTTGAAAACATCTTCATAGGATGGTCCAAAAGTTGGATGTGTGTCAATGCTGAGGGGAGTGAATTTTTTTGGACCAGTCTAGTTTACTCGCTGTGAATTTTTGAAGTCACTTGTTTAAATGAATGGGGCTCCTGCCGGCTGACGCATTGCGCAGATGCGTTTTTTCACCTTTTCCAGCCCCCGCGGCCATTTTGAATCACTCCATGAAAGCCCAAATGTTGGCCCATTAGTTGGAACGGCGGAGATAGGAGTGACTACGTCCGTCAATATACAGTATTCGGCCCCCTTGAACCTTTCAACATTTCAGGCTTCAAACATAAAGATATGAAATTAAAATTTTTTGTCATGAATCAACAAGTGGGACACAATCGTGAAGTGGAACGAAATTTATTGGATAATTTAAACTTTAACAAATAAACTGAAAAGTGGGGGGTGCAATATTATTCGGCCCCTTTACTTTCAGTGCAGCAAACTCACTTCAGAAGTTCAGTGAGGATCTTTGAATGATCCAATGTCCTAAATGACTGATGATAAATAGAATGCACTTGTGTGTAATCAAGTCTCCGTATAAATGCACCTGCTCTTTGATAGTCTCAGGGTTCTGTTTAAAGCGCAGAGAGAACCATGAAGACAAAGGAACACACCAGGCAGGTCCGAGATACTGTTGTGGAGAAGTTTTAAAGCCGGATTTGGATACAAAAAGATTTCCCAAGCTTTAAAACATCTCAAGGAGCATTGTGCAAGCAATTATATTGAAATGGAAGGCGTATCAGACCACTGCAAATCTACCAAGACCCGGCCGTCCCTCCAAACTTTCATCTCAAACAAGGAGAAGACTGATCAGAGATGCAACCAAGAGGCCCATGATCACTCTGGATGAACTGCAACTAACCCCAACTACAGCTGAGGTGGGAGAGTCTGTCCATAGGACAACAATCAGTCGTGCACTGCACAAATCTGGCCTTTATGGAAGAGTGGCAAGAAGAAAGCCATTTCTCAAAGATATCCGTAAAAAGTCTCGTTTAAAGTTTGCCAAAAGCCACCTGGGAGACCCACCAAACATGTGGAAGAAGGTGCTCTGGTCAGATGAAACCAAAATCGAACTTTTTGGCCACAATGCAAAACGATATGTTTGGCGTAAAAGCAACACAGCTCATCACCCTGAACACACCATCCCCACTGTCAAACATGGTGGTGGCAGCATCATGGTTTGGGCCTGCTTTTCTTCAGCAGGGACAGGGAAGCTGGCTAAAATTGATGGGAAGATGGATGGAGCCAAATACAGGACCATTCTGGAAGAAAACCTGTTGGAGTCTGCAAAAGACCTGAGACTGGGACGGAGATTTATCTTCCAACAGGACAATGATCCAAAACAAAGCCAAATCTACAATGGAATGGTTCACAAATAGACGTTTCCAGGTGTTAGAATGGCCAAGTCAAAGTCCAGACCTGAATCCAATCGAGAATCTGTGGAAAGAGCTGAAGACTGCAGTTCACAAACGCTCTCCATCCAACCTCACTGAGCTCGAGCTGTTTTGCAAGGAAGAATGGGCAAGAATTCCAGTCTCTCGATGTGCAAAACTGATAGACATACCCCAAGCGACTTGCAGCTGTAATTGCAGCAAAAGGTGGCGCTACAAAAGTATTAGCGCAAGGGGGCCGAATAATATTGCACGCCCCACTTTTCAGTTACTTATTTGTTAAAATTTAAATTATCAAATACATTTAATTCCACTGATTCTTGACAAAAAAATATTTTTTTATATCTTTATGTTTGAATCCTGAAATGTGGCGAAATGTTGAAAGGTTCAAGGAGGCCGAATACTTTCGGCAGGCCCTGTATACAGTCTATGGCTTAACACTGACTTCTAGTGGACAAATGCAATCATTGCAGCTTCTGAATACTGCACAGCCCTAACCCCACCACTTTTAATACTAATTACAATTTCACCATTAAACTAAAACATTTATAAAAATCATTTGAGACTATTCCTTGTTAGGTTGAATAAGATCAAAAATTATCACAAACCAAGGATCTGTTTTCCACTTGCAGATACCATTAAAGTCGTCAAAATCACCAACACTATACAACACTGAAGAAATATTGATGCCTCATTTATAAATGATATAAATGACGCAAGTAAACTCAAAATATTGAGTTTAGTTTTATAATTTACAATACCAATGACAAAAAGCAGTGAATCGGGACTCAAAATCTGATCAAATTTTAAGTTTAATAATCGGATCAGGACCGGAAGCAAAAAATGCTCATCGGGACATCCCTAGAATTTAACAGTAGCGTCACAATAAGAGGCTTGTATTGGGCTCTAAAATATCGTACTGTGATCTCTGGTAAGTGGGGACTACTGGTATATATTTTGTTTATATGTATACTGTGGCTATACAATTTTATTTATTTTCATTCATTAGAAAAATTTAATCCATATCCATGCAGTGCATTGGGATATACGTCCTTTTGAAGAATAAGTAGCGCTGGTTTGTACTGGAGTGCAATTTATTTTTGATCAAATTTTTGCGCAATGAAAATTTTGGGACCAGATTGTGACCAATCACAGCGGACCACTGGCCCCCACTTTCTGGAGAAAAGCTACAGGTCTCTTGTAAGCGCAGATAGCGGAGGTAAATGCATCATGGCGGAGGCGAACCTGGGTCTGCGTTACAGGTTACTGCTTATACAGCCAAAAGAAAGTCCCTACAGTGTCTCCCAAAGTGGGGTCCATTGCAGGGGTCCTCAAAAAAAATTTTTATACAATTATTGTATTATAAATTAATATTTTGTTTGTAATATTAAAATATTTGTGTTCATTATTTGACTTAAATAATCAAATTGTAATCATTTTTACATTATAAAACAGGGTGCGTCATTTACATATTTGTAGCAGAGGCTATTTCTCCCACATAAAATAACGAGAACAGGCTAATTTCAACGTTGTCTTCATGGTTATTATTTCAGGGGGCTAAGCAGACCAGTCAGATTTTTAAGGGGGCGTTACTGACTTTGGGAATGGCTGCCCTACATGAACAGAGAGAGGCCAAGCGTTTGAAGGATAGGGAGAGAGGCATGTGGGAAGCGAGGCTGACGAGACTAGTTTAGCACTGGGGCATGTAATCAAATGAGGAACAAAAAAATACCAGCGACATTTCCATTTGTTTTCGGGCCAAAACAAGAAACGCATCCAGCTCCGTGAACAAAAGCAAATGAGCAAACGCATGAGTGGGGGGGTGAAAGCTTTGTGAGTGCGGGGAGGGGAGCAGAAAGAGCCAGGGCAGCGCTCACATTTGAAACTGCGGCTTCAAAGTCACAAAGTGCGTTAGTCAAGCTATAAATTACTTCACATAATGAAACATGACACTGAAAATAAGCAGTAAGTGTGTTATAATGAGAGTCCAGTGGGTTCAGGGGGCTCCCAGAGGGCCCCCAGTGTCACACTGTCACACCTGCATCATGGTGACGGTGGGGTCGATCTTGGGGGGCAGTGGGATGTGGATCTGGTACTTGTTCCTGTCCACACTGAAAGAACACATGTTTTAGCGTCATCTTCATTCTGTATACCCATGATACTGGGACTCACCCGACCCTCATCCCCTCCTCGATGTCTGTCGGAGCCACCTGGTCGCTTAGGTCCACCACAAACTTTGCAAACTGTTTGACATTGATGATGTACTTAGGGTCCTCTGAGTCAGCGTTGATGATTTTTGTGCACCTGGAAAATCAAACATTTATACTTGTCACACTTAGCATAAAAGAAATCCAAAGCCCAGTTAAGTTTTCAAATATAGTCAATATATTTATTTTCAGTGCAAAATATACTTGAACATGGGGTACCTACCGTCAAAACAATATATTTTCTTACAGCGCAACCATTATTGATAGCATTAATGGTTCATATTTGTTTAACTGTAACCCTGCCCTAAAACTTAACATTAAGCAATCACCTGGCCTCTTCTTGAGAAGAGGAAACCGACCCGTGTCAGACACCCTGTGAGTGCTTTAATATTTTACTAACGTAAACTCTGTATGTAATAAACAGGGGTCGCACAGCTTTTGAAGTGTAAATGTATGCATTTTTCCAGGCACTTTCAAGGTAAACTGGGAGCACACTAAAACGTTGTCTCGGCCCTGAGAGTCAAATAATGACTCACAAGTATACAGAAAAAAAGGAAAAAAAACACATAAGACGGCCTGTTGTGGTCTGAATAGTTTTTACTTTTGAACACAACCAACGTGCATTGCTAATGCAAGAGATAGTGTAGGTACCCCAGAAGAGACAAAGGGTGGACATGGTCACATCCTGAGGCTCCATAGTCCAGCTCTGTTTCTTGCAGCGGTGTATTTATCCCGTGCACAGGTTTGCGCAAAGACACGCTGGTACATTATGACCACGTTACGGCTGTTTTCAAAGCGGTTCACAGCCGCTGTTATTCACTACAGAGCGGCTGCATATGAATCACGCATTTTCCAAGGAACAACAGCTTCCACTCACATGTGCTGAAATACAGGGTAGATCCAGCTATAATGTAAGTTTGATAGGTTTTAAGACCCTGGGGCCTCCCTGTTAACGAAAATATTCTGAGGGGCAGAGGTTTTAATTATGAATCAACATTTGGCCTTTTTCTGCAATTGCTTTGACAGCATATGGTATATACTCTTTGAAAGACTAAATTAAAAACAACTTCGAAACCAGCGTAAAAGTAGAATAAATCAGTAAACAAAAGTAAATGGCCACAAAGTGTATTTGGAAGGTTCTGATTTGGACCTTGTTGAATAATCCACTATAATAAAATGCAGCTGGCCCAGTGTGCTGCGAGTGCCCTGGTACCTGGCCACTTGCAGGGGCTGCTCACTCTGCAGAGTCTGCTTGTCCGCAGCCAAGTCCCACAGCGCCGGAGGAGCCAGGCCTGTGTCCGACTCTTTAATGCCTGAGTGAAAAAACACAACCCAGGTGTTAATAACACAAATAATCAATCAAGATAATAATGAAACCATAATTAATGTACTAAACATTGGGAGTGCAACGCCCTATCTTGTGGCTGCGGAGTATACACCGCCACAAAGCCTGCAATTTACAGTGCTGCCAGCCACTCATTCTACTGACAAGTGATCTATTTCACCCCATTGAGCTCCATGTATTTCAGTGCAAGATTTACACAATTTACATTAAGATACACAAGCTATATGAACAAAGCACTTTAATCTTCTTGCACTTCTTTTGAAACTTTTTGTGGATCGATTGTTTTATTCCAGTTTTATTCCAGTACTTGTCTGGTGCACACTGGGGACTTTTGCACAAGGTGGATTTATTGTGAATAGCAAACAAAATCTCAATTATGTTATAAGGGGCCATTCAGGAAACGACCATTCACCCAGATTCAATTAAGAATAAAAATTTATATTAACTGTGTGGATCAATGTGGGTGGAAGATATTTCAGATTGTTGGCTGTTGATCATTAAATTATACTTTTTCCTTCTTCAGAAAGATCTACAGTTCGAGAGCTACTTAGGACTGGCAAGAAAAATAACAGATGTTGCTGCAGTACAGTGTTCATGGTTTTGCGGAGCGGAGAGCAGGGCTCGACATGAACGGTTGTCCGGTTGCCCTGGGCATCTACAGATATGGGTGATGATTAGCTCACAGTAGTAATACTGTCCCCACATTCTGGGACACGTCTGTTTGTTTTTTTGAACAATTACCTTATCAATTCAATTAAATGCATCAGGATAAACCAGGGATGAAAATTTACTGTGGATCCGCGATTTCAGACTTTTTCCTGCTGAAAGCGTAATTTCAGACCAGTATCCACTGGAAGAATGCTGAAAATGAACTAAAATAAATAAATAATGCTAACAAAGCATTCAGGATTTTACTTTGTGACTAGAGTAGAGAAAATGATCCGAACCAAGTTACTACTCTTCTGCTGTGACCTGTCCTGCTCCATCCAGAGGCTACACCACCTCTGCTGCTTTGACCAGTCCCGCTCCACCTCTGCTGCTGCGACCTGTCCTGCTCAGCCCAGCGGCTACTCCACCTTTGCTGCTGTGACCTGTCCTGCTACACCACCTCTGTGACCCGTTGTTCTCCACCCAGCGGCTACTCCACCTCTGCCGCTGTGACCCGTTGTACTCCACCTCTGCTGCTGTGACCTAAAATGCTGTTGCATTTTATCATCACTATTGTTAGCTTTTTAGAATGATCAATTTATTCGTTTTATTTGTCTCGATGGATGTGTTTTTGCTGCTACTAATGTCATCACATTGGCACGAAGGCCTGGCGCACACAGACCACACTGGTCTGAAGGTGTCCAGTGTGTTTACATTTCTCACCTGTGAGTTCATTGATTTTCTTGAGCAGTTGCTGAATGTCATCTTCCACTTGTTTGATTTGCCTCGAGTAAGTGCTCTGCCCCTGAACATGGACAAGGGGAAGGTTAAGAAGATGTAAGAAGTAATATCTCACAATCAGATGATATTTGCACTGGAGGTATTGCCAGGAAACTCACAGTATATAATAAAAGGCGAACCTGATTTTCCTCTGTTCAAAACCTTGCTACATGATTTGAGACATTTTTATCATTCACATACACAAAAATCACAATTATTTAGTTATACTAGACTCTCACGCTGGTCAAAAAACGTATTTTGTGTACAACTAATAAAACAATGTTTGAAAGATAAATAAGAACTTTATTACTTACATAGGTTTTCAGAAGGGCGATATCTCCTTCGTCCAAAGCTAAAATAAAATATTAGGATGAGACAAAATGTAACAGGGTAAAACACTGAAATGCTCGGAAATAACACTTGAAGCAGATCTGTGGCTAGTAATTAAAACACGTCAGCCTTTAGTAGTAGACTATACAATAGCCAGTATGATGCTGAAAACCATGATTCTCACAATTCAAAGCTTTCTAGTAGGATTTAGTTACCTCTAATGGGTGCGTCCTCTTTCTCCTCTTCTTTAATTTTTCTCTGGTCGTCGCCTAAATAATCTGGCATCTTCAAAATGTGTAAAACGTAGTCCAAAAGAACGAGAAACGAAATGAAACGCTGCTGATGATAACTGCTAAGTGCTAACTACACTGACCATTACACAGCAGCTTTACACTTCCGCTAGCCGGAGATACATACACCACCGCAGCTTCTTCTTTTGATTGCAATGACGATTGGCATCCAACTACCAAGATGCCTTTACCGCCACCTACAGTATTAGGACTGTATGAACAGGAGATGCACTCACTTTAGGCTACTATCTTAATGTAAGCATTTTTTTTAGATGGATTCCGAAGTAGATTCCCTAATGTAAATGTTTGTTCATTTTATTGACACCACTGGTTTAACTCTCTCTTGCTCATAGTGCATACAATGAAGTAGCACATGTTCGACATTCTCCGGCTCTTGACAGTAATCGCAAAGTCCAGTAGAGTGTTTTCCTATCCTAAATAATGAACTGTTCAGACTTGTGTGACCTATTCTCAAACGTGTGAATGCTCCCTTCCTTTGTGCTCCTGCCCCGGGATTTATATGGACCCACATTCCGCTGCATACTATATAAATGCCGGCCAGTATCACAGATGTCTCAATATTCCTGCCATAACTTCTTCACATGCGCTTTTATTATAGGTTTGACTTCTGATTTACTCAATGCCGCATCTATAATAACTGAAGGGGATTTCAAAACACCCACCTTGACACCTTCTCCACCAACTCCAACTGATGTCTGCTGTCGTTGTGTCCTTGGGCAAGACACTTAACCCGACTTTGCCCAAAGCCCCTGCTGAGAGATCAGGGCTATGCTCACATTGACAGAGCAGCCATCCTCCTGTGGACTCACCACCTGCAGAGGATCAGTGAGGGGCTGGTGCATGTGACTTGGGTGGCATCTCTGACTGCCACCCCCCTGACCCAGAAATGGATAAAGGGGTAGAAAATGGATGGATGGATGGATGGATGGATGGATTTCAAAGCATCCTTAGCTAGTGTATCGACCACTTCATTACCATACTCCAACATGGGCAGGAACCCAAAGAAATGACACTCCAACATCCCTACTATACAAGGAAAGCATCACAGAAAATATACAACGGAGGATGTCTGGTCTACAGTCAGATTTCCCAGACTTAATGCTTTGAAGAGCAGAAAAACTATCAGATACTTTAGCGCTGCAAAGTTGTTTCAACCCATTTCAGAGATAGTTTTATTGCAACAACTTCTGTAGTAAACACAGAAAGATTATTTGTCAATCTTCACTGTCAAGCTCTGGTATAAAAAAGGCAGAACCAGTACGCCCACTCACAGGATCTTTGGATCCATCAGTAAAAATAAACAAATGCTCAGAACGTTCATCAATTAGCTCTTGTACAAGAAAAGGCGGCGGCCTTGTTTTCTTTGAGTTTATGTTGCAGACTAACACGTGCGGATATAAACTTCCAAGGGGCAATAGTTGATAAAGTCTGCCCGTTTGTTACATAAAGTACACTTGCACCTTCACTGAGCCACTTTAGTTGCACGAGACACCTTTATAGCACACAGCACATAAAAAAAATACATTGCAGAGTTGGTTTTAAATAATGATGGGTCCAGCAACACTGATACACCGGCGCATGTGCCGAGTCCGTTTAGCGAAACCTTGTATCGGCGCGCGTGTCGCTTTATGAAAAAGCCACGTGACCGATACAGCCGCAGTGTCGCTTGTCACCAACACGGCAAACTGTGTTTAAAAGGTTCCGCATCTGCAAGTGTCACCGGTATGAACCGCTCTCAGAAAAAGAAAATAACCATTTCAAAAAGGAAAAGCATCCCATTTTACAGCATAAAAAATGGAACCTGCAACTAAAAGAAAGTATTCTGCAGTGTGATACTGCAAATAACAGCAAAATAAGGCAATGTTTGTATTTTACATTTCACGCTTTATCTACAATCAAGGTTTAGTTTGAAACGCAAAATCTAGTTAGGCATGGTGGATGAGTGGATAGCGCTCTCGCCTCGCGTTTGAGAGAACTGGGTACGAATCCCTGTCGGACCTTGAAAGTTTATGTTGACATCACAGTCTTGAATAATTTTGAGAAATTGAAGTGCAGAAAATGTCAAAGGTTTTTTCAAGTATACTTTAGTTGCCAGGGTTTACAGTGCACTTTGGACATGCTTATTGTTTTGAAAAATAAAAATATATATATATATATATATATATGTGTATAAAATCACTCAATGACATTTTGCTTAATGAATACATTCACAACTATCACTTTAATTTTCACATAAAATAAAATAACACAGACAATGCAGTTACGTAATATTGTGTGCAGACAAGTATGTAAAGCTCATTGAATCAGCGAGTTGGATGCAATGATTTATCAGATCCACCAGGCGTCAGTATAGAGCAGCACAAGCAACACTGTTGCGGCACAGTATCAATACAGTTCGTTGGATGTGCCGAAACGATACGTGAGGTTTCATTTACCCATCACTAGTTTTAAAATATATGTATTAAACACTTTCCTTTTACCACGTTTTTATCCAGAGGTGTTGGCATGTAATATCTGCAGCAGGTCCCTGGAGGGAAAAGGTAGACAATAAGTTATTTTAACCAATCCCTAAATTATTTGTGAAATGGGTTCATTATGGCCCAGTCCCAATACCCACACTGCACCCTACGCCCTCCTATGAAGTGTGCATTTGTTTGAAGTGCGCAGGTTGCAAGCGTGCACAAAAGGTGGAATTGGGACATTGCACACCGAGTGCAGTTTACGTCATCGACTCGTCAAGAGATGGTCATTTTCAGACCTAAACTTTATAAAAATTAAAGGTAATTTTGTCTGACCCTTTGGGAAACAATATGAATTGCTTCACACACGTTATAATACATTTATATTAGTTGTTTTTAATTAGAGATAGCGGTGTAATTTTAAGTTAAATGTGGGTAACTAACTATCTGGTCAGTTTTTATACATTCTAAGATTATTGTACTAAGTGTAAAGTTTAAATTGAATATTATATAAACGCTTGCTTTAAAAAGTTATTAAATTGTTAAAACACAATGTCCGTAATTCTTCATCAGACGTTTATGCTTCTTTCCAAGTAACATAGCAAAACTTATTTACACACATACTGCATATATATTTCAAAATTTATATTTAATTGCATTTTCCCGTCGTTTTGGTGTGTACCGCAAAGAATTATGGGCAATATCCTTCGCCAGAGTGTGCATAGATGCAGGCTACGGCGAAGTGTGGATCGGGGGCGCAAAGGGGGCGGGGACAAATACCTCCCTGGAGAATTGGGACACCCTACGCACTCGCACCCATCATCGGGAACGCGCAAATGAGGGGCGCGAGGGTGGAAGTGCGAGTATTGGGACGGGGCATATCTGTTAAAGACCTTGTTTGTATCCAGTAGGCAAAAGGGTCCCACCAGGAACGAGTTCCTGTTTTATGGTTCCGGGCCACAGGACCATATGGAAATTGTAGGGGGGAGTCTGAGTAGGTATTTTAAAAGTTTAGAGATTTAATATTACTTGGTGTTGGTTTTAGGGTTTTGTATAAATGGCATGTGGGTTTTAAGATGGTTTATGGGTTTGGGTTTTGTCAATGGAGTTTTAAGTTGTTTTAGAAAAGCTAAGTATATTTTAACACCCCTGCTTTTACAACTTGGTTTTACCACGCAATCCGCACCAGATAAAATGACATGGGAAACGTCAGTCTCGGCTCTGCAGCTGGAGAAGTACTCCATTTGCACGATAGCACTTTATTGCCTGTTTGCAGTAAAATATGTAAAAATATGTGGACCACGGCGACCTGTTTGTGTTTTTAATTGCTTTTAACTAGTGATGGGTAAATGAAACCTCACGTATCGTTTCGGCACATCGAACAAACTGTATTGATACTGTGCCGCAACAGTGTTGCTTGTGCTGCTCTATACTGACGCCTGGTGGATCTTATAAATCATTGCATCCAACTCACTGATTCAATGACCTTTACATATTGTATGTGGACAATATTACGTTACTGCAAATGTCAAATGGTATTATTTGACATTTTATGTGAAAATTAAAGTGATAGTTGTGAAAGTATTTTTCAAGAAAAATGTCACTGAGTGTTTTATATATTTTTATTCAAAAAAATAAGCATGTCCAAAGTCTTGCCGTGGAGCCTATTTCTTTTTTTTGACACTATTTCCCCAGCTTTAGAAAATACACGCTCACATGGCACAGATGAAGCCGGGGTACATAAAAATTGTAATGATAACTGAAAAAGGTTGGGATACGTGTTTCTCTGGTTCCCCCAATAGGTCAATGGATCCTCTGATCGCGTAATGTTTCCCTGCCCCAAGTAGCGCTGGACCTCAATGATGGAGTCAGCTGTTGCATTTGTAGTCTGTCTCCCAACCTCCACATCCAGATCCTGCCACAAGTTGTCTGAAATTAAATAAACACAATGGAATGTCAGTCTTTATCATCTGGTACATAATAACAACAAGATCAATGCACAAATGAGATGAAAACACTGCCTGAAGTTGGTGACTCTGATGAGGGTCCAGGCTGTTGCTCAGATGTACTGCAAGCAATTACTGCAGCACACTCATTTTTCAGGCGCACAATTGCCTCATTGCACTTGGAGGAACTGCGAAACCCGAGTGATTTAAATCTTGGGTCCAGCAGTGTGGAGAGGGTCAATACACTTAATGTCTCCAGTTGAGATGACGCTTCTGTGACACGACGCTTAAGATGCTGATGGAGATTTATGGCTGTTTGTGTGTGTAAATGTGTTGAATGACGCTTAAGTGCACAGTACAGCATTTTCATCATCGGGATGACCTCTGATCCTGAAACTCTCTTCTCCTCAGACAACTCCACTGTGGCCTGATGGAAAGGAGCTAGCACAAGAAGTGTCTCCTTTAAGATTTTGTACTCCTCAGCCGTGAGTGGAGTCAAGTCTGTCTGAAGAGAGGCCAGAGACACCCACACTGGTTCTTTCTCATCATGTAGCCGTGACAGCATCTGA